CTTGGGTCATAACATCCGAGTAAATTTGTTCACAAGCAGTATCTCTTAGAATATTAATACAAAATATAGTGTCGTCAGCATGTGGCTTAGTTTCCAAAATACATGTTCTTAGGAAGATCATTGATATATACCAAAAAAGAATAGTGGTCCAAAAATCAATCCCTGAGGAATCCCTCTCTAAATATACATCAGTGACCTTTTGCAATTTTCAATAACTGTTTGATATCTGTTTGATAAATATGACTCGAAAAGTTTTAAACAAGTTCCCCGTACTCCATAAACAGAAAAAAAGGTGTACTATATTCAAGATGAATGATCTTTTTTTCAATGCTTTGTTGTGTTTGTATATCCGCAAGTAAAACTCGTCCCGATTTGAAATTCTAGTAATACTTGTTCAACAATAGCTAATAAGCCTTGCTTCAAGATTAGAATCAACTTGCCCTAACCAAAATACCTCTAATTAAATGAAGAGTATTGCACAATTGCTGTATTATGTACATCTTAAATGAAACAGTCTTATACTTGTTTTAAATATACTTTATTTATAATCAATAATACCTTGTTCTTAAATCCAATACAACTAAATTTATTACAATAATAATATGATCTTTGACATAAATATATTGATTTTGGTTGAATTATAGGATAGTTTCATTGAAGAAATTAATAATCTTGAAATAAGATCAGGCTGTTCTTGCTTTTTAATAGGGTTCTCACTGGTCCTATTCACCGAAAAACATTTTTCAAAATTGTTTTTAGTTAATATACCAAATTCCTTTGTCCTCTGAGGTGTCCCAACTAAAATTTAAAAAAAATAATTTTATAACTTTAAAACCTAAATGGAACATAAAAGTATGTCCTACTAAGATAAGAGGTCGTATCTACAAAATGAAAATTTTTAGTAAATGTGGGTAGGTAGATAAGTACGTCCTTTTAGACTTCGGCAAATAAGTTTTGCATATTTTACTAACCTTTTCTTATAATTATAGTAAATATTTTCTAATGCAAATAGGCCTTTATTATTTTGTGTTATAATAAAATAAAATGTAAGCTTATTAAATTTGTAAGAATCTTGAAATCATAATTTTCGTAGATACGACCTCTTGTCTTAGCAAGGCAGAAGTCGTCTTTTCAAAAAGTCGTCATCCAGCATCATACATTTTTTTTTACTTCCATTCCAGTTTGTTTCGTGTCCTTATGATTTTAAATTTACTTACAAGAAGTGAACTAAATATACTTAAATTTAAATATTGGTATCAGGTCGCTGAGGCCCCATTCTTCAAAACAGTCTTCGACATACTTTATTAGAAATACAGTAGCATCTATTGTAGAACGTCCCCTTCTAAAACCACATTGGAAAGGGGTGAGTATATTGCAAGATTGTATAATATTAGATTGTTATATACTGCTATTTCCAAGATTTTTGAAAATATAGGAAATATAGCAATTTGTCTTAAGTTGCTAGGCAAAGATGGATAACCTTTTTTAAATAATTGACAGACTACTTATTTTCATATTATCACGGAATACACCTTCAAATAAACAACATTTATAATTGTAGAGGCTCGGATAGAATTGAAAAGCATTTCTTCAATTGAAACCACTAATATCTTCAGTTTTTTTTTTGTTTTTTAAACCTTTTATAATTGTTTCTATATCTGATTGGCTGACTAGCTGGAAAAACATAGATTTTTTAAGTATGGTGTATTTATAAAGAATACGGCTGGATTATGTCTTGTTTTTTAATTTGGAATTATATTGTTTATTATTTTTTAGTTAATAATAAAAAAGAATTAAGGTCTTGAACAGATACATTTATCTGCTTTGTATTTATTTTATTTTTTGTTAACGATATTCTACAAAGTTTTAGGTTTATTGTCGGAACCTAATATACAATTACTGTAAATATTTTGATAATGAGTCTTCCAAATAAAGTAAAAAAAACAATATAATTTTTTTATAACGATGTAAATTTCTCAATAAGAGTTTTTGTTTTTTCTACTACTACCTTATTTTGAAATTACTTATTTTTTCCATTGAAGATTAGTTTCGTTTTGTGTCAGTGGTTCATAAAATAAATGTATCATTTGATTACATTTCCTAGCAGTTTTTTATTTCAAATATTTACACTTAAAAATTTAGAATATATCCATTTTAATTGTTGAACAGTATAGTTAAAAGTATGGATCAATATTATTATTGGAAAATTTAATGCTATCGTAAATTTTAGTTTATTTCAATAATTTGATGTGTATACATATCAAAAATTAAATATTGCTTTTTAAACAAATTTATTTTCATTTTGTTTATTTTCATAATTATAACTATTTTTATGGTCTAATATACTTTGTTTGAATATTCTTTTTAGATATGTTTATAAACAATGTTGTTCCGTAATTACATTGTAAATTTTGTAGAAATATATTTGTTAAAATGTCACGAACAAACATCTAGGATGCTTCCGTGCCTTCGATGCTTATTTTCTTTCTCTTTTTTTTATTCTAGGTTATTAAATATTTTTTCCTAGGAAAGTGACACATATCACACTATATAGTCCTATGGAAAGTGCCCTATATCACACGCGTATGAATAAGAATTTACTTTCCACCCGTGTACGAATATGCTACTTTCCGCAGTAGTTGTCACAAAATGTCAAACATATCATTTCTATTTTGATCTATGTAATGTCCATATTAATACTAAAATCGATATGATTGTTAAATTATTGAAATTGTTGTAAATTAGATCCTACATATTTATCTTTAACAATTATTATTAAAATAATTTTAAAATAACTCAAGATATATTTGCTTTTCATTCTGGTTAAACACATAACCGATTAGATCATTCAATTACCGTAAGGCCTATTAGCTCAGATGGTTAGAGCGTCAACTTTGCCATTTGAGACCTGTCGAGCGACCGCGTTCAAATCCTGGCTGTGCCAGAATTTTTTTTGTTTTTTAATTTTTTTTTTTATTTGTTTAGAAAATATGAAAATTGAATAAATACGATTATTGTTGATTATTTTTTTAAATACATTTTAATTATAATAATAATAATCTGATTTTACATTTTTTGATGAAATTATTTTGTGGTCGTAGGAAAAATATTGTACATTACTTGTGTGAAAAGTGACTTTCCACACTCGTAATGTAATATACTATATTTGTATGTTCCCTATTGGAAAAAATATTGTTTTTACTCTCTTGCCTGGAACAATCATCTTTATACTGATATGCAATGTATATAATAATTATAATAATAATAATGACTTTATTGCTTTCAATACATACAAAGTATTACACAAAACTACTTAGATATACATAAATACTGAATGACAAAAGACGACGTGAGCACTTACTGGCAAGCTCAAAGATTGAGCCAGCAAATAAGCAGCGCTCTTCCACGCAACCCAGAAAAATATAAATAATGCATACAGATTTTTTTATAGAAAAAAGAACTGAAATTCTAGCTTTCAATAAGAAAGCAAACAAACAATATGGAAACTTAGAAATAATAAAAAAAGTCAAATTTTAAAAATTCTAGATCTGTGTTCTTATTGTAAAATAGAAATATTACTGTTAAATTAAATTTAATTAACAATTGAAATTAAAAACTGTGTTATCTCCGTTAAATAAATGGTTTTTGACATCTTTCCTAAAACGTGAGAGTGATGTGATATTAAATATTTTAGGGGCAAGGTTAAATAATTTGGCTGTGAAATACGAAAAGCAAGATCGGAATAAAGTTGTAGTGTGTTTCGGAAGTGTTAGGAGGGTTTTAAATCTGACATTAACATTATAGACTTCAGATCTTATTTTTATTTTTCCATACAAATAATTAGGTTTTTTTGATAATAATAATTTGTGGATCAGGACATAGGCTTGTAACAATCTTCTATTATTTAGATTAAGCCATCCCAAACTAGTCAGATGTTGAGATGTCACACGCATTTAGAGTTCGTTGTAAACGGTTTTTATGAAATTGTGTAAGTGCAAGCCCATATACAATGTCCCCGTATTCAAATTGAGACAGCACTAAGCTTTCGCAAAGCTACTTTTTGGTATTTCTGTTGAAGATTCCCGATTTAAATAAATTAACTTTAGATTACAGAAAGACTTTTTTATTATAGAAGAGATATGTTGCGCGAAGGATAAATCTTCATCAATGTATATGCCCAGATTTTTCTCACTAACTGAGAATGTTAAAAATTCATTGTTAATACTTACCCTTAGAATATTTTTAATTCTATTTTTAACTTTTTTACGGCCGAAAAGCATAGCTTTGGAGTTTGTAGCGTTAATTGTTTAGCAAAATCTGTTAGATATCTCCGAGATAGTTTGCAGATCTTCGTTGATTTTTGTAATAGCGTCATTCGATTCGGATTCTTTAAAGTCAAGGTAGAGTTGAGTGTCATCAGCGTAAAAATGAGAATTCATGTGTTTCAGATATTTGAAAAATTGAGGGGTATAAATTAAAAATAAGAGAGGACCTAAAATAGATCCCTGCGGTACTTCACGTGCAATAGCTAAATTGGATGTTTTTTTTCTATTTGAACCCTTTGATATCTTCCATTTAGGTAAAAGCTCAATAAATTTACTGAGGCTGTGTTAAATCCCATAAAATGACATAAAGCTATCAGTAAAGAATGATTTATTATGTCAAAAGCTTTTGAGTAATCTAAGAGAATTAGTAAACATAATTTTTTTAGAATCTATAAAGAATTAGTATACATATTTGACACTTTTTTAACAAAATCATTATAGTTTGTTTCTGACTTGCTACAAACAGTGTAAAAGTATGCCTAGCAGTCAAAGAAATAATCTATCAAAATAATAATATGATGACACCAAAGCGTGAGTATCTCTTCAGGTCGAGCCCCTAAGCTCCCGTCGAGCTACGATGATTTTTAACACTTTGATCGCTGATGAATACTACTCTCATTTTTTTTTCACTATTACCTCCATCCACTATCATTTACGTATTGTTCTTTGTTACAGAGATGTAAGGACAGTGGTCCTCCAGAAAGGCACTTCAGGACTCGGCTTCAACATAGTCGGAGGGGAAGATGGCGAAGGAATATTCATATCCTTCATTCTCGCCGGCGGCCCGGCAGATCTGAGCGGCGAGCTAAGGCGCGGCGATCAGATTCTGAGCGTCAACGGCGTGAATCTCAGAAATGCGACTCACGAAGAGGCCGCCCTGGCGCTGAAGGTAAATAATGCAGTCAGTATCACCAAGCACGTATAGTATATGTAGCGTAGTACACCGTAGATTTTAGTTGTTAGGGCAGTTGTGCACATGCGACGGATGATCAGAGTTGATGATCAATTAATTGGGCTTATCAGTTGAGTTTATATAACGATTACGTAATAAACAATGTTAGTGGACGATCGCAGGTTCGCAGATAGCGAGTTTGATATCGAAATGCAAAATAAAATTACGAACAGTTCAAGTACATTGATCATCAGCATGCTGACCAACAGTCGCACGTGTAACTGTCCTTAGAGTTATTATTTCTAGCATGGAGAATTAAAATGGTACATACGTACAGGGTAGGTTGTCTGATTAAAAACTTAGTGTTCGTATAGATGAGGGAGAATTTAAAAAAAAAAAATCAAAACAGTTATTTCAAAGGGGACACCTTTTTATCATCCTCAACTGTCATGCGTCAGTCCCCTCCATCGCTCTAACCAATACAATTTAAACAGAGAAAGTACCAAATATGATCCACCAGTGAAAAGTCAATTTTATGGGGAGTCAAGCAATTTGAATGTTTATTTACGTTACGTTTGATCGTATTGCCCTCTAGCGGTATAAAAAACTGTTATATATTGTAAAGTGTGGCGTTTCATTTAAAATCTAATTTTAATAGTGATTTAATAACATTTATGCTACTCATATAAATGTTATTTTGGTTATTGAAGTATTAATTAATTATGTTTAATAAATTATTATCAGAAAAAATAAAAAAGAACCTAATACTAACTTCGTGTCACGACCTGATAAGAATCTCCAGAGGAAAAAAATGTCAAATTCATCAGATCTGGGCAAAAAAACTCGAAAAAAGTGCTTCAAGCACCAAGCCCTTTAGAAAAGTAATTGCCAGCCCCAAGCACTTTGGAAATTCTAAGTGCTTGCAATAACCGAGAAAAGTAAATGCAAAATTCAATTACCAAGCACCAATTACTCAAAACGACCTTGACTGTAAAAATTTGTGAATAAATTGTTAATGACAAAATGTCTTTTGGACTACTGTAATAATAATAATAATAATAATAATAATAATAATAATAATAATAATAATAATAATAATAATAATACTCTCCCTAATTCACCCCCTTACGAGTGAATTTTAACCCCAAAACCTGAGCTTGTGCGGGGAAAGGGACGGATATTATTATTATTTGCCGTGGCGCTCCGAGGCGATTTAAAGATGATTGATGGTGCCATTTGACTTACAGGTGAGGAAAACCCGGAAAACCTCACCCACCATCATCGAGACGGTAATGTATGGCGATTTTTTATAATCTGCATGTCATATCAACAGAAATTGAATTTCTATTAATACGACACACATCAAATCCTATACCGAACCATGCAATTTAAATAAAAATCCACGTGGTCTGGTCTGTGATTCGAAGCTCAGCAGTCTGTGACACATAAACTTGCTTATAAATATAAGCGCGTTAGACCGCTACACCACCGACTGTACTCTTATTAATTGTTGTCGCTGATGTAATTGGTTGCCATAATAATAATTTTAGTCCAAAGTTGAAAAAAACATGCAACAATGGGGAATATAGCAACCTTCATTTTTTTCGAATCTCTGAAATTAATTTTCAATATTTTTAGTGGTACATACATAAGAAAACAATTTCTTCATATATGAACACATGTTGGGAATCAGTTTTTTATAAATATCATTAATATGCTTTGTCCAATTTTATTTAAATTTGTCAATGTTGTCCAAAGTAGTAAGAGGTCAATTTAGCCCCAACTGGATGAAAATTATTAAGTTCAGTGGCGTCCCAAACAACTTATACACAACACTGCCAAATTTTAAGAAAATCGAATAAAGGATATTAATGAAATTTATAAAAAACTGATTTAAAAAATAGTTACTTTGTATTTTGAGAACTATAAATTTTCGGATCTATGTCTATATAAAGAAATGTTCATGTTTTCTTATGTAGAATCACCCCAAAAATTATTGACTAAAATTACTATAGCAACCATTTACATCAGTGACCAGTCAATAAGAGTATAGGGTTCAAAAAGACATTTTTTTCTTCAATACTTTATTCAGAAAGGCAGTGGAAACTCGGATTATAAAAAATTTGGATATAAATGAAAAACAACAAACTAAATACAAAAAACACTACTAATTCATAAGCCAGCACTTAAAATCTAGATAAAACCACCTTCCCAAAGATAACCAACAGTAATGTTCCACAAATGGTTAGTAGATGGATACATAACATGTTCTCAAAGCGAGCAGTAAACATAAGTATAGAAGATGTGAATATAAGAGGCTTGGTTGCGAGGGGATGTCCACAGGGAGGGGTGCTACCATATTAACCGTTGAACACGATCTTCGACACCCTCATCAGCCACCTCAATAATGACAGTTACAACACAATGACCTGGTCATTCTGCAAACAGGGAATTTTGAGAACATACTGTGCAAAAGAATGCAAGTAGCTCTAAAAATTACAGAACAGTGGTGCAAGGACCATTCACTGTCTATCAATCCCAAGAAGACAGAAATGGTTCACAAGGAAGAAGATGAATATAGAATTGAAACCTCCAGAACTCCTAAACACAAAACTAAACTTTGCAACAGAATTGAAGTACCTAGGTCTCACCTTTGACAGCAAGTTAACATGGAACTCACATTTATAAAACAGAGTTAAAAGAGCATACATAAGACCTATGCTAACATACGTGCAATTGTCTGGGTACCGAAAACCCAGAAATTAACAGCTATTCGTAAACTAGAACAAATTCAAAGAACAGCATGTCTCAATATAACAGGAGCCATGAAAACAACACCGACCAGAGCCATGGAAGTCATTCATAATTAAATCAGACAGGAAGCAGTAAATTGAGACCTCCGTGCCATTTTAATATAAGAATTATTTATTGTTTATATTATTATTTTTCAATAAAATTTGACTATTGTCGTGTATTGTCAAAATTTATCTACGATCACAGAACACTTACTCTTCTACGATCAGTCACTTTTCACGGTGTAGTTTTTAGTTTTTTATGGTTGAGCAATATTTATTACTATATACATCATTGGTGTCATTGTGTGATCTGAATTATCGACTGTCGACGTCCCCGGGGCACAGAAGCGCCATCTTAATTGTATACATTTTGAGGGACACTTTTTGTATACAGATATTGTTCTCCTTTCCTCTACCCTCCATATGTATTGGTTAGAGTGATGGAATGACGTATGACAGTTTGGGATATGATAGAAAGACGTCCTTGTTGGAATAAAAATCGACTCGTTTTAGTCTTTTTTGTAAATTTTTTTTTCTATTCTTAGATACAACCGCTAACACCCTGTACAAAGTGTCTACCTAAGTTGTCAGCATTTGTTATTATTAGTTTTACGAAAAGAAGGTCATTATTTGTAAATAATTCTGCATCAATTGGAAAACTATAATCAAACATCAAATTTGTAATATTCAATAATTTGCAATACATACTTTACTCTTTATTATTTATTTATTATTTATTAACAAAGTAAACCTAAATCACTTAAAAATAAGTGCAATGATTTAAACGAGCATATTTTTTTTAATTCCTATCAACATTTTATATTCATATTTACCTCTATATTGAAATTTAAAAGTACTTGGTTCTTCAGCATAAATCATTATTTTTATTTTTCCTGTATAATACTAATAACTTTACAAATTTGAGTCTTTGGTAATTTGTAAGTGACTTTTTATCAAGAATAACTTTTTCGTAAAACTAATTTTTCCTTAACCTGACAACTTAGGTAGACACCACAGAACTGAAATTAGGATTTGATGTCAATTCTTGCTCAGAATTTACGTTCCGTTAAGGAGATTCAAAATTGAGGTTTGAGTTTGCGCAGTGCACATACAGAGAAAATCAAAGTATGTGGCGCAGTGAGTATCTATCAGACATGTCAATTGTCATTCGTGAAAGTAATTTAAAAATTTTTGGGGCGATTAACCGCTTATTAATAATTTTTTTTCTGAAAACATTGTTATATATATTTTTTTAAATTATGACCTTGTTTGGTACCTACTGCGCAAACTCAAAAACCTCAATTTTATTCCCTTTGTAGGAACGTTTTTGTAAACTGTCAAATCCATTCTCCTAATTTCAGTTCAAATTAATCGTGTGACTTTTCATAATGGGGTTATACAATTAAAAACAACTTCAAATATCTAAACTTAATGAAAAATAAAATAATTTGCCATTTCTTATTTTCCATGTATCAGAACAATAACTCTTAAATACATTTAATTATCGTAGTCTTTTTTTCCACTCGTTATTAGTACCTACTGGTAGTTTGCCTTTACAGGGTGGCGAAAATTAAATTAACCACTATGGAGATTTCGTTTATAGTTGTAATCAAAAACTTGGTTAAATGATAGAGAAGATGCGCATTTTCAAGATGAATTTATTCATTCTTTCAAATTTAAAATATCAGGTTCGTTTTCAGAGATATTTAGGCAAAATCGAAATTGGGTATTTTCGTTTTATTTAAACGACACCTTTGTTTTTAAACATATAAAAAAAACTTTATGAAGCTCTTTTATTCAAGATCAAATACTACTCACTCCTAACTCAACACAATTTTTTTTGAATGGAGACCTATACTTTTTAACATATTTTTTAAATATCCATTTTTTTCCTCTATCCAATATACAAAATTGACAATGAACTGTACTTTAGGATTTTTTTGTAAGTACGGTCCTATTTATTTACAACCTGAATGTTTTTAAATCGCCTTGAGCCTTTTGAGTTTAACAGATTTAACAGATTTAGCATATTGGAAAGCGGACAATTTAATCACAAAAATGTTTTTTTATACAGGATGGTTATGGAACATACAAGGATTCTATCTATCTGAAATACGGTGTGGTTTAAAGCCCACTCATACTGAAGCTCTAGGCTTATTGTACCCCTCACAATTTCTACCCCTTCACATTAATTTTCTTGGCAAATTCAAGAAT